TTTTTGTGGAACGGGAATGGAACTCAGGCCCTTGCGCTTGTCAAGGAAGCACTTATTCCACTGAGCTATCTCCCCGGTGGCTTTTCTTATATAAAAACAAGAACTAATTTTTACAACCCTTTTTGGGAGGCTGAGGCCAAAAATTTCCAGGCCTGGGAAGCAACTTAGCAAGACACTGTCTCAAAAGGAAAAAAAAAAAAAAAAGCTCAAGATGGAGCTCAGTGCAAAGGCCCTGGGTTCCAACCTCAGTACCACCAAAACAAATGAACAAACCATTTTCTACAGAAAGGCAGCTCTAGTCTTCACATAGTGACCAATTATAGCTCAAAATAATAAGTTTCCTGTATGCTCGGATTTTGCAATCCAGGACGGTAGAAGTTATTTTCTCACTGATGGAGAAGAGAACTGAAAATCTGGAAAGGGGAAGAGAGGACGGACCCAGGAGTGGTGGGCTGGAAGAGAGGGATCAGGACCCCCATGCTGGCCATTGACACCATTTTCCTCTAGCTCTGGCTGGGAGGTAGCCTAAGAACAATGACCAACTAGGAACCATCAATGCCAGCCAGTGCCCCTCCCTGGAAGACATGGCTGATCCAGTCCCCAGGTTGAAAAGGTAGAGGCTGGGGCATCTCCATGTGCCAGGAAGCAAGAAAGCATTCCCAGAATCATGGGACTGTGTCAAAAATGACACAGGAGCCAGTTCACAGGAGCTCATGCTGGCCAAATCTGGGACAATTTAATCAAAATTAGTGACAGTGATGGACTGAGTAACATAAGAATCTGTAAGTCCAGACATTGAACAAATGAATGAGTTAAAGGTTGAATTCCGTCCCCCTCACCCCTGGAATCCTGACCCCTATCGAGGAGGTGACCTCATTTGGAGATAACCTCTGAATATTTTCAGTTAAAATGAGGTCCTTAAGGTGGCCCCAGCTCCATGTGACTGGCATTCTTAGAGAAAGGGGAAATTTGGACACAGAGACAGACATGGACAGAGGCTAAAACAGCTGCGTCCTTTCTGCCCTTGGATGGAGCCATTCCTGCCTCCGCCTCCATGTCAGCCTTCCACACGTGGGATTGGGGCACAGTGTTGCTGTTGTTGAAGCCACTCGGTGGGGCATGCTCTGTTAGGGGAGCCCCAGCAAATCGACTGAGAGAGAGGGATGCCGCTCCTCATGAGGAAGTGCCAACTGGTCAACCTAGAAGACCTGAGTTGGATCGTCCCATAGCTGCAGAGGTTCAGGGTGAAAGTATGGTAAGGGACAAGATATTTACAGTCTCAAGGGGTCTCCCAACAAATGACTTACTAATTACAAAGAGGAAATTAGCAACTTGGGAGTAAGAAAACCTGGGATGCAATTTGTAAAACTGAGTTTTCTCAGGGAGGTTTGAAACTGGATTGGAGGCCAATGCATGGGATGGCTGGGGTGGAGCGGACTGATCAAACCCCTGCTTGTAATCACCTGCAGGAACTCAGGCAAGCTATTCATTTTCTCCCAAGCTTTCCTTATCTGTGTCACGGCAGGGGCCGCTGATCGCCACCTGTTTCAGGTGGCCTCTCATGGTTGTGAGGATCCAAGGAAGTTACAGCAGCGAGCGCTTCTAGTCGGCTTCCAGGCAGAGCACTCAGGTCAGGCTTCCTTGCCCAGCAGGAACTGAGCCTCCAGCCCAATTATCAGAGCCTAGGGCAGGTTCTCCGAAAGTAGACGGCAGAGATGCAAATAATGGGAGTCACGGGGCCTTTCCGGGCCCCTGAAATGGGATTTCAAGTCAGTCTGCAGTACTGGCTCCTGCATGGACTCTAAGAAGGAAAAGGACCAGCTGCGCCTGATGTGCACACCTGTGGATTGCGAACTCAAATCCCAACGTAGGCAACTTAGTGAGACCCTATCTCAAAATTTTAAAAAGAAATAAGACGAAGGTGAGGTATGTAGCCCATTGCAAAGCCCTGGGTTCAATCTCCCAGTACTGGAAGAAAAACGAGAGGAGGAGGAGGAGGAAAAGGAAGAGGAAGAGAAAAAATTCTTGGAATAAAGTACCAAAAATACTTGGATGTCCTTTCCTTGGTGCTCGGGTTGGGTGATGGCAGAACTCTTTCAAGGTCCTGCCTAGAGTCAATGAAGTGGATGCATTTTTTTCAGGTTGAAAGCTTTTCCCTCCTTACTCTACTAGTTGGATGCAATAATTGACAAGTGCCTCTTAAACAACCCCTGTTAAGGTGCAAATGCGTTTCCTGGTAGAGATAACAAATTCTATACACAAACCCACTAAGAAAACTGGACTAAACTAGTGTCCATCCACCCACCCAGCCAAGCCACAAATCCAGCATTGCTTCACCAACACCCCTTAAGCCCCGCCTGGCTCCTCTGGTCTCTTACTGTCCTTATTTTCCCAGCAAGGGAGCCAAGGTACAGAGCGTTCCGTGACTTGTCCGAGACCCCTAAGCCATAGTGGAGCAGGCCAGCCCTACAGCTTCTCAGCAAAGGGAGCCTCCTCATGGTGCGTTTTCACGTTCTCTTGGGTGGTGCCCACCTCCCTTCCTGGCTTGCTCTCCAATCCATTTCTTCTTGGCTGCCACCACCACGACCCAGCTTCCCTCAGCAACCTCCTGGTTTCCAGCCCAGTCTCCTCACTGAAGGTGAACAGAGGACCTAGGTGCTGAAGCAGCGGGGAGACAGAAGCAAGAGGCTGGCACAGGGACTGGGAGCATAGGGGATCCAGAGGACGGATGGGGATGTCACAGTTTCTGGTGCCACCTCTGCTTCTCATTGCCAAACACACACACACACACACACACACACACACACACACACACGCACACACGCACACACGCACACATGCACACACGCACACGCAAGTCCCAGAGTGCTGGGCACAGGTACACCCCTAGGAGTCACTTACCTGGAGGTGACCCTGTGGCAGTGCTCCAGCACCAAGCACAGAAAAGCTTTTCCTCAACTTACTAGGGCCCGTCTGGGGTGGCCAGAGTGCAGGAGAGGAGGAATCTCTGAGGGAGTAAGGGCTTCTTTTATGCCTCTTCCTTGGAAATTCAGGAGCCCAAGGCCCATGAGAACTTTCAGGAAGTTGATGTTCTGGCAGCAGACGGGCGCACAAAGCCAAATCCTCGATGGGGAGGGCGGCCCCTGCCAGGAAATGGACTTCTGCTCACCTACCCAAGCCCAGTGCTCGAAGAGGTGTGGCCTCAGGCCGTGGCAAGGGGATGACAGGTGGAAGCTATGGAGAATCTTACCCTTTGGTCTCTGGGTAGAAGGACTGTCGAGAGATCATCCTCAGGAGGTACAGATAGAGGCTGAACCCGAGGACACTGCTCTCCAGCTGGCCCAGCCAGGGTGGCTTCAGCCTGAAGGGGCTCAGGAGGCGCTTTGTATGGCTCCGCTGCCTCCTAGATATTGGAGGGCCCAGGGGAATGAAGCAGTTATAAGATATCAGGCTCCTGGCGGGCAGAAGGAAGACATTTATGGTGGACAAAGCTACCTAAAGACAAGTGTGACCACCTCAGGTGACAGCGGGAGTCCCACAACAGGAGATGCACCAGCCACTGCTGGCAGATCTCCATGTGGGCAATGCAGGCTCAGATGGGGGAGCCCTACCCATCCTTGGCCTGTGGGGTCCTGTAAGGATTCAGTTCAGACTCAGTACCCCAAGAGCTCAGAATCCACTGGGCCAACAGACATACCAACAAGTAATCACAAGACAGTGTGATAAGGTCCAGAGGACAGAGACTTGGAGGGCAACAGGCCTGGGTTCAGATCCTGGCTCTCCCAGCCTCAGCTTTGTCACCTTGGAACCTTTCCTCCCTGGGAGTATCAGAACAGACAAAGAGCCCCCACTGTGCACCATGTTTTAGCACACTTCCTACTGTGGCTGCAGGAAATAATGGAGGTGGTCATTGTTCCTACCAGGTACCTCTAGGATCAAAAGGCTCTTTGGAAGGACCAGGAGGAGACCCCAGGCAGAAAAGGAGTCAGGGCATTCCAGTCCAAGGGAAGAGTGTAGAGAGAGAGAAACCTAGTGAGCTGAGGAAGTGGCCAAACTCCGGAAGATGTTGGAGGAGGTGCCATTGGGAGGTTGGGGACAGGAAGGAAGGATATTTGTCACAAAGCACCCCAAGTTTCCTGCCTCCAAAGCAACTATTGTATCATTCCTTCATCCTCTTCTGTATTTAAGTTTTGTTTTGTTTTTTTTTTTAATTTTATTTATGTGTGTGTGTGTGTGTGTGTGTGGCCAGCTCAGCCCACCAAGGGGCGTGGCTGGCAGGCATGTGGTGCTGGGGGATTGAACCGCGGTCCCTGTGCTTTGCTAAGCTTGTTCTAAGTAGCTGCTTTAGACCACTGAGCCATCTCACCAGCCCCCCTCTTCTGTATTTAAGGATGCTTATACCTATGGTTACTAGCAAATAGCTTCATAGGTCTTAGTTGACTGGTAGATGCATGCAGGGAAAAGAGAGGTGTTGGGAGGGAGGTTGGCATGGAATTTATTAACCCCGAAGCTCAGTGGGAAAGAGGAGGTGCAGAAGGCCAGAAGGCCCACTAGCGTGAGCACATGGTAATAGGTTAGGATCCCAAGTTTCCCAGGCACCCTGCTCCAAACACTCTCCCTCTTGGTTTTCCAGGTACCCTGCCCCCAAACTCTCTTCTCCTTGGCCCCACGCAGAGCCAAGTCCAAAACCAAAGAACAAGTCTGCCTGACTTTGACCTGGGCGAGAAACCACAGAAACTCTCCTTTGTTAACTTCCAAAGTCCCCCAAAGACCAGGTAGGCCAGTCAAGATTAGTTCTCCTTCAGCTGTTCCAGCCTGCAAATTCGTCCCAAAAAAAAAAAAACAAAAAAAAAACCCACCTTAAAAGCACATGCTTTGTCTTGTTCACTGCTGTCTTGGTCCACTAGACAGCCAGCCTGCTTGCTGCTCGCCAATAAATCTTCTTGCATTAGAATGCCTGCTCTGGTCGATTGTGCGGATTTGTACCTAATACATGGTTCTTCCCTATGGAAGAGGCAAAGGCCCAGAAAAGATGGAGCTTCAGGACAGAAAAGGACAGGAATCTGTAATCACCCAGCTTTTCTGTCTTGTGCCCAACCTCAGTTTTACCCTTTTCTGCATCAAAGTAACTCCTGTTGGAGGCCAAGACAGGACCAGACTCTGCTAATCCACAGACCTGGTGGCTGAGGAACTCACTAAAACGAAAAATGAAAGGAGTTTTTTTTTTTTTTTGGGAGGGGGTGTCCCAAAAGCCCTGTGCATCTGGATTTCTTTCCTATGACAGAAAAACCTGGGGCTAAAGCTGTGTTTGCAGAGGCCCGTGATCCTCCCTAGGCTGCCCAAGGACACTGTGATCTCTAGCTGGTGACAGACACACCCTGCCCACTTGCTTGACTCCAAAACTCATGAATTCAATTGGAATCATGAGGAATCTTGTGCTTTCAGGGTCCCAAGAGACAGTACAGTGTGAGGCGAGGGTCCCCATGTGGTGGAGAAGCAGCAGGAGGCAACACAGGTTCAGTGCCCTGACTGTTCTTGAGGAAGGCATGAGTTTGGACCGCAGTTTCCTCCTCTGCACGGGCACTGATAGTGTCTATTTGTCCCTGAGGTTCAGAAGACAGACAGTCACAAAAGCACCAGTGACCAGCCAAGCATTGTGTGGAAATGGGCAATAGCCGAATAGTCATGCTCTGTCCGCCCCAGACTCCTGCAGCCCCTGCCTGCTCAAGTCACTAGGGCACAGGATGCTTCATGACCCTAAGTCTGGGAGCCTGGTGGTGGTGCAGTCCTGAGGGAATCCACCAGGGGAAGTGGGAGGAAGGGACAGATGATAGACCTGAGAGGGGAGAGAGGGAAGCTCCTGGTGTTACCTACCACTCAGCCCAGCATTCTTTCTTTCGCTCACTTCAAGGTAGAAATCGCAAAAAGGCGAACAATACCAAGGGAATGAGGCTTTGTTAGGGCTCAGGCTTGATCACAGGGGAGCAGCACTCAGGGTAACGTTGCCTGACTTTCTGAAGAAATGGGCCAAGTATTTAGCTCCACTCTTGTCCCCTGCCAGCTGGTGGCTGTGCATGGCTCGCGACCTCTGCACACATGTCATCTGACGCTTGATCTCAGACCAATGCCTGTGCTCCTCCTGATGATTTGCACATTACTTTCCTTTGGTCTCGGCTCCTAGGAAGACAGCAGAGGGGCTCCCTGCTGCCACTCCAGGAAGGTCGTGCAGGGTCAGAACCACCCACTCTGTATGCATTTTAAAGGAAGCAGATGACACAATAGGTCTAACCCTGCTTCTTCCTAAAGATAAGAGACACGGTTGTGAAATCAGGCTTGCCTTACTCAGTCTCCCCAACAGTGCCAAGAACTAGCTCTGCCCTCAGAAAGCCCCTAACTTCTCCGGAAGACAAGACACAGACGAAAGCTCACTTTGCTCATCTTTCCCTCCAGAATGTCAAGGAAATGTCCAGTGTGATGTCCGTCCCCTGCCCTAGTCCCTTTCCCTGGTTCTTGCCGCAGTGACCACAGGCCTCAAGGATGGCTCACTCTAAGGAATGGTCCTCTTATAGTCTAGAGAAATATGGCAGCTTCAAGGGGAGAGACTGTCCATGCAACACGTGCAGTTCTGACTACTTACTATTTTTTTTTTTTTTTTTGTGGTACTGGGGATTGAACTCAGGACTCTGTGCTTGCCAGGCAAGCACTTACTCTACTGAGCTATCTCCCCAGCCCCCTACCTACTATTTTTGAGGTGCATTAAGAGTTGCTAGATCTAGACTTAAGCATCTCTGTTACCAAACAGCTGAGTGGTCAAGTCCTTAACTCACTCTGGGTCTCAATTTTCCTATCTGTAAGATGGACGTAGTGAGCACCAAACAGAATATGCCCCGGAAGCTCTGAGAATGTATCTGAATTAGTGGGTGTGAGGCTGGAGCTCCCTCAGAGATGACACTGTGAGTGCTGTTTAGAGGGACTGTGGGCAGGGATCGTCAGGAAAAAGTGGTGTCATCGAGGTAAATACATGAGTAAATAGGAATAAACATCATTTTTACCTTTTTCACTTGATTAAAATATGTGTGGTAAAGCCAGATGGGGTGGTATGCACCTGTAATCCCAGGACTCTGGAAGACTGAAGCAAGAGGATCACAAATCCAAGCCCAGCCTAGGAAGTTTAGTAACTCAGGAAGCCCCTGTCTTAAAATAAAAAAATGAAAAGGACTGAGGATGTAGCTCAGTGTGAAAATTCCAGGTTCAATCCCCAGTACCATACACACACACACACACACACACACACACACACACACACACGGAGATAATTTAAAGGAAAAAGAAAAACACTATCACCAAGCTTGTTATAAAAGCATAACTACATGACATAATGCATATAACTACAGTATGAAGAATGAAAGCAAATTAACCTAGATGGATGCAAAAAGTAGAGTTTTCATTTCAGATTCTACAGGCATTTAAGAAGCTAAAGGAAATAACTAATGGTGCTACTATGTCTAAGAAGTCTGTGAAGAGTTCAAATGTTGTAGATCATATTCCCTACCATAACTACTAAAATGGGAATGCAAAGAAACACAGCAAAACAACCAGCACATTAAATGAAATAGTAAATTAAATGTGTAATTAATTGCCCCCCCAAAAAAAGAGAAAAGAAGAACACAAAACAAACAAATAAACAAAAAAGATGGGACAAATAAACTGGTACATCCAATCTAATCATATAAAAAATTTTATTAACTGTAAATGGATTTTTATTGGGGCCCCCCCCAACACAGTGTTTGGAGAGTCACTAGAAAGATCTGTGGAAGGGCTGGCCAAATAGCTCTGCGGATTAAAGCGCTTGCAAACAGGTGCAGGGGCAGTGAATTCAATCCCCGCGCTGGCCCCGCCCCTGCCCCACCCCCTGGGGCGACTGGGCGTGGTGGTGCGCGC